AAATTGCTGCTTCTGGTGTTTTCGCACCTGCGGTTTGGGGACCGCAGGTGCGGTCTCGCAGATGCGGAACCTTTGTCGCAGATGCGGGTTTAGGGGAAATGCTGGGAATCGCAGATACGGATAGGGGACCGCACCTACAGAGCCGCAGATGCGGCTATAGGACCGCAGATGCGGTCAGGCTGGACTTAAGGAATTCCGCAGATGCGGAGGTAGGACCGCAGAAGCGGTACCGCAGAAGCGGTTTTTGACCGCAGAAGCGGGTATGACTGGGCAGAAATATTTAAGTCTTCTTCGCGAATTTTGAAGGGTTTTTCATTTCTAACTTCGGACTTGGAGAATTGTGGGCGATTTTGAAGAGGGATTTCAAGGAGCTTCGATAAGGTAAGGATTTTTGGACCCAAAATACGATTCTATGGTGTTATTTCATGAATTAGGACTGAAAATTTAAGGAATTAATGGACAAAAATGGTGGTTTAGGGCTTGAACTTAAGAGAGCAAAAATTGAGGATTTGAAGGGTCTATTGAACTTCGATTCTTGTGTATTTGATATGTATAAACTCGTGGGGAGATAAGGAGTCTAATGATGTGAAAATTTTTGAGTTTCGAGAAGTGGGCCCAGGGTTCGGGTTTTGCTAATTTCGAGATTCTTGTTATTTTTCGATTGTTTTCGATTGGGTATTGTTTCCTTAGCATATTGTGATGTATTCTTTGTGGTTTTGATCAGATTCAACGCACGAGGAGGTCGATTTGAGAGGCAAGGGCATAGCTAGCTAGAGTTTTGGCCGGCTTGAGGTGAGTAACGAATGTAAATGATGTCCTGAGGGTTTGAAACCCCGGATTTGCACATCGTAGTGCTATATTGAGGTGAGACACGCGTTTGATGATGAGCGCAGGGTCGTTTACTATTGGGGATTGTGACTTGGTCCGTCCCGAGTGATGTTCTTACCGCTTATTTGATTGAAGCCTATTTGTTGTCATCATTATTTGTATTGATTATCATATTTGGGCTTCATGCCAACTATTTGAACCCTTCGGGGAGTTTTTATCACTATATCCTCACTGTATGGATTTATTACTTGAACTCAGTCGTACCGTTTTCTACTATTTTACAACTCAGCCATCTTTACTTGGATTTTGAAACTAAATGATATACTAAATGATGTTTTGGGCTGAGAACTACTATTTTTATTATTGCCCGAGGGGCTTATGTGATTTCTGGACTGAGTAAGGATCGGGCTGCGCGCCGCAGCGGTATTATATTGATATTGATATCAGGCCGAGGGCCTAGCTGATGCCACGAGATGGCTTGATATTGCGCTTAGGCCGTAAGGGGCCCCTCCCGGAGTCTGCACACCCGCCGTCGACGATAAATAAATGGATCGGGGTGCACGCCGCAGCGGGTACTAGAGGGTACCATATTATGTGTTGATTATCTTTCTATATCTGTCACTTAATTGCTTATTTGCCTTAGCATTTCTGCATTTCGATTTTAGTGTTTTATTGATTTCATTCTACTTGTTTCAACTGCCGCTTTATAGATTACTTTGTGTTTTTCCATGATTTCTTATTCTCAGTCTTTATTTATGTTTATTACTCATTGGGTCGGAGTACTCACATTACTCCCTGCACCTTGCGTGCAGATCCAGGTGCATCTGAGGCTGATTGAGGATTTTCTGCTGAGCAACACATATCCGGGAGCATCGAGGTAGCTGCAATGGCGTCCGCAGCCCTGATCTCTCCCTTCTATCCTTTGTTTTATTTCGTAATTTCCTAGATTGCTATGCGTTAGGTTGATAAACCTGTATTAGAGGCTCAGACTTGTACTGGATCTATATGGGCTATGTAGTAGGATTATTATTTGAGATTCCGCATGTTAAACTCTTATTTCAGATTTCTAGTATTATGACTTGGTAATTTATCTGTGTTGATTAATAATAAACTGTATAAGGAATTGGGTTAAGGTTGTTAATTGGTCGGGCTTGCCTAGCATTGTGTTGGGCGCCATCACGACCGGGGTTGGGGTCGTGACAAATACAAAGCAAAAAAATTTAAAAAGAAATTAGGATTCCTATTCAAGTTGAGAATCTTATAATTAGCAATCCTCTCCTAATCAAAACTAGTATCCTACCACGAAAAAGAACCCATAAAGATAAAATCTTAATTGTTTGCAAGATCCTAATGTTACCAATGTATCCAATATCAAGTTTGTTCTTCGAATGGTTTAGTTTTGGAAGGGTATAAAAGTTCGTCAAGTTTTCGAGGATATTTTCGTCATTCAACATTCAGTGTTTTAATATTCGTACTTTTATAATAGATATATAAATAGATATGATGATATGATGTGTCATTCATAATACTTCAATTTAAGGGTGGCGATAATCCATAGCAACTTTGATCTAAAAAATTTCTTCTTATAAATAAGGTGAATCTATATATATTTAAAAGGAAGAAAGTCTAGCCTAGAATTATGACAAGTGGCAACATAGGAAAAAGATATGTGGTAGTTTTAGGATAAAATTAGTTAGATTAGTTATAATAAGTTATTTAGTTATTTTTAAATTCGAAATCAAAATCAGTTATTTTTCCCCTTTTTGATTGCTTATTTATTATTATTTTATTATTATCTTTTTTGTTAATTATTGGCTTTTAAATGTTTACCAACGGAAGGAAATAAGTTTTGTCAACTGTTGTGTTCCAACAGTGACGGTTTCCTACGATTTTTTCCTATTTGGGGAAAGTTTTTTCTATTTTGTGCTCTTCCTTTTAATATGTGGAATATTCATATTCATATTCATTCTCTGCCAATTATTTCATATTTACATTACATATGAAGGAGTTTAGCTTGATACGTGGACAACGCAACATGAAACAATTAGGAACACTATATAATTAATGGTAATTTTGTATTTCCTTGCTTATTTTTTTCCATAGTGATGATATCTCTGGGCTATGACTTACTTGAATATAGCTTATGAAAAATTGCATTTACAACCATCTTTAGAGAATCAATTATCTGCGAAAACATACCCTGACTTCTCCCATGTATCTTTGATTTCTTGCGGTGTTAATAATTTAGTTCTTTATTTAGTTCATTTGAAACATCAGCACATACTATGATTGTTTTTCCATTTTTTTTCTATTAAGTTGGTCTAAACTAATGATTAGTAACTGTATAATTATTCAACGACTGGAAAACTCAAATTAGCTTTGGAAGTTTAATATAATATTTTAAAATATCCATATAATTTATGGAATAATAGTAAATCAAATTTCTGTTTGTAAGTTACGAAAAGTTCAAGCAATCAAGTAAAGAATAAGAGTACAACGGTTGAAATCTCCGTTGATTTACATTATGTGTAGCGGTTGAAATAATATTTATTTTTTAATAATAAAGCAATTTTGAGTAATAAAATAAGAGTATCGAAATAGTTTAGATTTAAGAAGTAAAAATATTTATTCATATTATATATTTAAAAAGGAGAGATAGGCACGGACATGAGTGAAAAACAAATAAATAATAAAGTACTTAAACATGCAATCACAACAAAAAATATGGAACAAGGATAAGCATATTTGAATTTGGTAGAAATGACACCAAGTAGCCACTTTGAAGGACTGCTATTTAGAAATTAGTCAGTGTATTCTAAATTTCAGTTTTTCAGTTTAATTTTTCAAGACAAAAATGTCCTGAGTTGTCCTGAAATTAAGTTTTTTAGTTTAAAATTTCATGACAAAATAAGTACTGGCTAATTCCTAAATAGCATCCCTGAGAATAGTTATATGTGCACTTGCCCCTCGAATTTGATATGAGAAAGTCTTTGAATTTCAGAAAAAATATATTGCACAGATACGGCCGTCTAACTGAAATCTTAATAGATATTGAATAAAAATAACTATAATTCAAATTCATATGTTGATAATATCAATAGTTAAAACTAAAATTTAATATATCATATTGAAAACAAAATAAAAGTAGTTCAAAATTAATATTTGAATTATAGGCAAAACACTAAATAAAAAATTAAGTAAAAATATTATAGTAAAAAAAATGCATACAAGAGGATGATAGGGATTGTTTGAGTATATTTATGATATTGATTAATTTGTAAAATAAATATAGTAACTAATTAAATAATGCTAAAAATTATGGTTAACAAATTTAGACAATGAACTATGCATTTATATTGTTTTGTCTTTTATAAGTATAATTATTATAAAATGTCAAGTGTGCCAAATATGCTAGCATTCTCTTATATAAGCTTTACACAATTATTTTATAACAAGCAAAATCTTGAAATTGACCACGCAGGTAGCTATACTAGTCCTTGATTAAAGGAAAAACAAAATAAGAAGAAGGAAATCCCATGTTTTGATTCTCTCTTACCTTTTTTCCTAACGGTTCTTGATTCATTTAACCGCAACCGACTCAAGCGGACACTAGAGTTACGGCTACTTCTCTATATCAAACTTTCAAATATTTAAAACTCCAATTTGACGGCCATTTTCCTTGTATTCCCTCTCCAAACAGTAGCAGAGAAACAAAAAGGACGGCCATTTTCTTCATCATCTGTTGAACTTGAAGGTGACAAGAATCATTCACCTGTTGAAGATTGGATTAATTATATCCCACTTTGGTCATTTTCTTAAATTTCCAATTGCAGGTTTCTTTATTTTCTTGTTTTCAAGACACCAATTATTGGTTTCCTTAATATATTCTTCATTTTTCTTTCGCCCCCGTTACTGGTGAATTATAACAATCTGAGATCTTCATGAAAAGTTTGGTGCATTAACTTTTTCATTTCATGCAGAGTTCCCTCCTCCATATTTCCATTTTCTGATGTTCACGTAAATTCTGTTACGAGTTTAAATTCTATATATGCATTGACTGTGTAAAAATTAGTACTGCCTGTCATTCTATGATAAAATTTGCTGATGTTGCAAAATAAAATCCTTCCATTATTATGGACTGAATGTAGGTGGTTCTTCACTTTTTCAGAAAGTGCAGTGAAAATGAACGATCTCATGACAAATTCGTTCTTAAATTATACGGAATTGAAGAAACAGGTCAACTTGGATGTTGAAGCAGAGAGGGATTTGGAGAAAGGCCAATTACAACTCAGTCCCACAGATGAAAACAATCTCTCCCAGTTCTTTCTTGAAGTGCAGGCAATAAAGGATGACATTGAAGAGATTACTAATCTCTTAATTGATCTTCAAAATCTGAATGAAGAAACAAAGACCACTCATAGTTCTAAAGTTCTTCGCGGGCTAAGAGATAGAATGGACTCAGATATGGTTGCTGTTTTGAGGAAAGCCAAGATTGTCAAGGCAAAACTTGAAGCACTTGAAAAATTAAATGTAGCGAGTCGCAAATTATCAGTGGCGTATGCTGAAGGTACTGCAGTTGATCGAACAAGAATCGCCATGACTAATGGATTGAGATTCAAGCTTAGGCAAATCATGAATGATTTTCAGGTTTTGAGGGAGAGAATCATGTTGGATTACAAAGAGTGTCTCAAAAGAAGGTACTATAATGCAACAGGTCAGGTGGCAACAGAAGAAGTGATTGAGAAGATGGTTTCAGGAGGAAATGTTAAAGTTGAAATATTTGAAGAAAGGACAGAACTGAATCTTGAGAACCAAGAAAGATATGAGGCAGTAATGAACATTCAGAAAAGTTTGGACAAGCTTCATCAAGTGTTTCTTGATATGGCTGTTCTTGTTGAGGCACAAGGTGAAAAGATCGACGATATTGAGCATAATATGGCTGCTGCTAGAAGCTTTGTAAGTGGAGGAACTAACAGTCTTTTCTATGCTAAGCAGATGAAGAAAAAGGGAAAGATGTGGATATGTTGGGTATTGGCTGTGGGATTGATTATCTTGCTGGTTTGCTTTGTTTCAATATTGACCACTTGATAAATAGTAGTATAGAATTACTTAGAAACTCCTTATGTCTATTTCATCTTATAATGAATGAGAAAATGGAGCTAGATATATGAATATTCTAAGTTCTTTTCCCTCTATGCTCTTTATGCTTTCAGATGTTCATTTGAAGAAATTACTTCAGCAAACTCCTATCTAGAATCCTGGAATAACTGAAAATAATAAATATTACTAACAGATTTCAGTAATACAATTGACAACCCAAAAATGAAATGACTTTTAAGAATTCTCGAGGTTATTTGGATTTCAAAGGTCATTTTCTGAAAAGAAAATTCTATTTGATAAGAAGTTACTCTAGGATGCAGGTGTTAATTAAGTGGCACTTTCGGGAGATACTTTTCGTGTTATTTCTCTAATTTCGCCTTTCTTCTTCAAGTGTTTTTCTTTGGTTGGAAAGGGGAGTCTAACTTCTAAATCCTACTTCATTGATGATTGTTCAAGAATTCACATACTAATGGTAGGTGCAAATTTTAATATATAAGGGCGGTGGTTGTGGTCTTATTATATATAAGGACATTTTAACTTCTTTTTGTACGTGTATATATAGTTCGAGTTGAAAGCAATTGGTTCAGTTGAACCAGACTAGATCCGCTTCTAACTAATGGTAAAGTCAACTCCACTCATATAGTTTTCCTTAAGCTGTAGGAAACTTACTGTTATAAAACTATTCAAGTTTCCGCTAGTTGATTACTCCCCTGAGTATAAAGCAATTTAACTTGATCATTCCGGTTCAAGAATAGATGATAAAGGAAATCAGGCAAGTTCAATGAAAACAATTGTTACAACCCTTGCTTCAAACGAATACAAATGAATCCCTTCAGTTACTTGACAGAAATTCCCTTTCTTGATTAGGACATTTCCTATTCAAATCTCAAATGTACATGATACTCAAAGCTGCCTCACTCATTTGTTGCATTATGAGGGATATTAGCAAACCGTAAACGTGAAATGAAATCAATCTGCAAATGAATAATGCGTTGCTAAATTAGCATTGTGGAAGATCCTTCGGTGGAGGCAGAATATTATGATCTGATCCTGGTCCATCTTCAACCACAAATGCTGTTTTAAGTCCCCAGCCAGTGTGCAACTCCAAATGACAGTGGAAAAACCAAACCCCTTCATTAAGTGAAAATTGCAACTACATGTCAGAAGGCATTAGGAAAGTTGAAACAATGACAACCTTAAACTTAGTAGGAAATTAGGTACCTGGATTATCAGCTCTGAACCGGATAGCAGTCCAACCACCAGTTGGAACACCTACTGTATTTCTTTCAGGAGGATCGATCAAGTTGTATTTTGCTGGATCTTTCTTGGGGTCAAAGTTTCCGATGCCAGTTCCAACGACAAAGAAGTTATAACCATGGAGATGGAAAGGATGTGATTCTACAGTTAACAAGTTGGTATCTTGGATTACTAACTCTACAGTAGAATTGAAGGCAACTTTACTAAGTCTTGTGCCTTGAGTTGTCTTGAGGTTGGCTGTAAGAGGAGCCCCTGTGTAATTGAAAGGAGTTGGTGGCTTGTCGGGAAAATCAGTAGTGTACACACCCTTAATATTGAAGTAATGAGCTTGAAGAAGTGCAGTTTGTGGCATGACAAAGGAGATGTTGTTTAGAGAAGCAGTTAACCGAGTTCCATTTAAACAAGTGGGACAAGCATTGATTCCTAGGCCAATGGTGTAGAAGAGATTTCGATCAACTTTCAGTGGAACATTTGCTGGATACTTTGGAGAATTTAGGCTCTTGAGCTTGTTGTCATAGCTCAATGCAAATTCTGTGTCATTAGGAGCAGGCAAGTCAGGAAGTTTGGGGATAACAGTTTCTGAGACGCCTTTGTATTGGAATATAGCAGTGGCGGTCTTGTTGTCTACGGAGATTGGAGCATCCATAAAAGGCCTTGCAGCCATGAAATATCTTCCTGGAATTTGGTTGGCGCGAACCAAAACATTTGTTGTCTGTCCTGGTGCTATCAGAATGGCCTCTGTGGGAAATGGTTTTGTGTAGACTGCATCGATTTCCACCACTGTTAAGGTATGATTTGCAATGCTAAAAAAGAGCTCATCATTGAGAGCAGCGTTGATAATTCTCAACAGGTAAGTCTTTCCTTTTTCAACTTCCATGGCATAGGTATCTGAGAAAGAAATTACAGCACCAGAAATTGAACATGAAACATAAAAATTGTTTAGTAAAGTAAGCAAAAATCCATATATAGCACATTAGAATCAAATAGACAATTTGATTGACTGAAGGCATTGTCAATCTCTTTAGTCTTACATTTCTCAGAACATGGAAAAAGTGGCCCTGGCTTTCCATTGATTGTATGAGCATCAGACATATTTGGAGGCAAACCTAATGCATTTCCTTGATTCTCCACTTGTTCAACATCCGCATTCCACCATTCTCCTGCAGCATAGTGAACAAAAAACAGTGCCATTTGATTCATGCTTTAGCAGAGGAAAACTTTGAAAACAAAGTGCATTTCAAGGCTTGAACTTTTATGTATATTTACGATATGAAGACTCACCTAGCACAATTACTTCTTCCCTATCTGGTTGAGGGAAAGGGAAGGGAGTTCCTTGTTGTGGCAGTATCACAATTGCGCCATATACTGTTGCCCTTAGCCAAAGAATATGTGCATGCCACCACAAGGTACCTCTTTGTCCTGTTACATTGAAGTCATACACATAGCTATTTCCTGTCTTGATAGGGCACTGAGTTATGTAAGCCGGTCCATCTGCCCAACCATTACGATATTGCTTCAATCCGTGCCTGCAAGTATTAACATGTATATATGTTTGATTGAGAACAGGAAAATCCTAGACAGGACTTAGAAGGGTTTTTGAAATTTTGATGTGAATATAATATTCTCACCAGTGGATGGAAATATTATATTGTGCATGGTTTGTAACATTGATTTGAACTCTATCTCCTTCTCTAACATATATGGTTGGCCCTGGAAATCTCCCATTAACTGTAACTATTGGCTTTGCATGGCACAATCTGCTCACATTTGCCACTTGAATCTGCAAAACATAGAAAGTTGTCCATTATGAATAAAGCCTGACGTTGAGACGTAATATAGTTAAGTTACCAAAATATGTTCTGTCTAACAAATTAAACTTTTAGATGTGATAATCACACAATTCAACATAGTATCACTGTGTTTGACTCATGAAAATGAATCAGCACACACGTGAGGAGGGGCATGTTAAGACATAATACTATTAAGTAACTAAGGTGTGCTCGCTCTAACAACGTAAGTTTTTAGCTGAGATGGTCACACAATTCAACGTGAGATAAATTTTAGCTGACAAACAAGGAAAGAAGTTGTTTGATCGGAGACACTAACGTCGAATTGGTACTTCTTTATGGCAGCCTCAGCAGGTAGACAATTAAGCCAAAGAAATGCAAAGATAATGAAGCCTAGAAGTGGAAAGAAACTTGTTTGGTTTGCCATTGGCTAGAAACTCTAAAACAACTGTTTGAATGGATAATGCATTGATGTAAGGAAGAAAGGCATGTTTATATAAGTGAAAATAGCAGAAAAAGGCAAAGAAGGCAATATGTGATTTTCAGTTTGTTGAAGGCAAAGGAGGTTGTAACAGAGATGTGTGTACTACAAAACTTGTAAGCAAAATACTGAAAGAGACATTTTATAAGGCATTGACTGACATAGAGATGAGAGATATGTAAGACCAACCAAATCCCCAGTAGAGCATGAACTTTACCGTTAAGTCAAAGAAACTAAGTAATTTTGCTCTTACTGCAAAGAGATTAGAGAATAAATAAGGAATATTTGTCCAACTCTACAGTTTTACTTTATGCAAATATTAGCTGTTTCTTTGTCACCTTTGCACTTGAGCATGAAAATATTCACAAGGCATTTTGATAATTAAGATTATCAGAAACTTTTAGTGAATCTTGGATCTTTAACGAATTATATTGTGACCCGAGTCAAAATTCATGTACTAGTTATGCAGAGATTGTTTATGCGGCAAATAATAATGTGAGAATTGTTATAAGGTGAATAATAATGTAGGATAATTGCTATGCGGAAGTTGCTTACTATAAAGGCTTTTTATTTCAATCTTTATTTACTGTTATCCAAATATATTGTTGACTGACTCCCACATAACTTTTGCATATATTATCGATGCAGATTTTAATAAAGCCAACCAAATGTTGTATTAAGTTATGCTTTTGGTGTACGACTACCCAAATATTGTAAATTTTATGATAGGGATTATTTTTGTTAATACGGTATATAACAAGTTATGTAAAAGATGGATTGACTTCTAAGATTTTGTTGCTTTTCTCCTCTCTGAATTCTTAGACTTATATTTGTTTAGGGAAACCTTAGATCTCACTTAATATTCTTTTCTAAGGTATTCCTCTTGCAGAGTTGGAGTGAACAAGAGTGATATATATATATATATATGTTTGGCTCAAAAGTTAACGATATACTTTGTAAGCTAAAAAACAATCAAAAGTAGGAAAAGGGGTAAATCGTAATCAAATATAATAATCCTAGAGATGCGAAGATGATAATATTATTGTAGATCTAGTATTGCAAAGTGATAATATGAACTCAATAAGATATGTTCGTTTGAAGTAGAGATAGAGAGAGAAAGCTAGAAAAATGAGAGAGTTGTATTATCTCAGATGCCCCTTTTACAATGTGAGGGTCTCCTTTATATAATAAGAGACCCTCCTCGAAAGAATCAAAAAGTTACAAAGACAGGTAACGTCTCCCTAGTGAAGACACTGAGTCCTAAACGATGTCGCTTTTGTCCCTACGGCCGAGTCGTACCCGCTACGTTAGTCGGCGTACACTCACTGGGCATACCCACTGGCGTAGAGATGCTGAGGGTCAAATTTGACCCTATACAGTTAGTCCCTCCGCTCGTTGGAGACGCATTCGGTGGGCGTCTTCGATGGGCGGAAATGTGAACCTCGGCTTAGGAGAATTTGACC